TTCCCACTAGACAACCATTTTCAGTTGCTTATAACTTTGCCAAACTGACCATTTGGAGAAATTATCTTTATGCTGGATATCAGTTGTGGATTGAGAAGCACCAACATCACCTTTTTTAGAGTAGGAGTCTATATTTGGGGAAGAAAGGGGAAGATGGAGACAAGGGTCGGGAATGAGGGTCTAATAGCTTAAACTCCCTACAAAGCCAGGAATTGCACTTTTTGGATCTGTTTTAATACATATCTGTAAAATACCCTGGTGTAAAGAGTTTTCATCTCGTATTGCTGCAAGTGGTGCTTGAGGACCCCAGTGCTCCTGACCCACCTTGGCTAAAGGGAAGAGAAGGATTCATGCGGCAGTTCAACATGTGATGTCAAGAGTCAGGCACTCAGGATAAGCTAGATTTAAAATACAAGGATGTGCACCAGATCTCCCCAAAATAAGGTTGCGCAGGCAACCTTATTCGTGTAATTTTTAACTTGTGAGTAGACAAAAGGCAGGGTAGGATAGCACCTTCTCAACTGAGTGAGTCCAAGGTGCCACAGTGCGCTGTCTTCTGTCTGCCTTCAAACTAACATGGCTAACTACTTCTCAGTTCTTGACTGTTTAACTTCTAAAAATAAGTTTCGAATATAGTAAAGGCGTAGTGTTTATAAAGCTTTCTGGAAGGAGAGTAAAATAACAGATGAAAATGAGATGCTTCCAGAAAGCTAAGCATTTTAGCACAAAAGGCATCATGAGTATTTCCTTAGTTAGGATAAGCTAGGCCTGAACTTTTACAGTTGTCTCATTTCTTTTTTCCAGGGCTCTGTACTCTTTTGCATTTCTGGCAAAAGTCCTATGTCCTGCCAGTTAGTAATAACTGCAGCCATAGCTGTGTTGGGTAGGTACTGATGCTGTCCACTCAAAAAATAGCTAGAGTTCTTCCTGCCTGCCTGTAAAGGGTACAACTTTTTTTCCCCAATAGGGGGTAAAAACTTGCTTGATAAGGGAAGCTTTTGTCTTTAACTGAGAGGCACCTACAGGTGGAAGAGATGAGCTTTCTTTTGGCTTGGCTAGAGAATAGCTAGTTAACCAATCTAAATTGCATTTATTTTCACATAAGAAATCTATGAAAGAGGGATGATCTTGTAGCAAGTTTTACTGTTGGCTACAAGATCAGGGAAAGAATGGCATTCTACTCTTCCTTTTTAAGGATCTCACACAAGAAATTGGTTAGCAAAAAAAATAAAAATAAAAAACCAGGGGGAAAATACCTAATTTCCTGCTATATAGTTGAGAATCCTTCTGTGGATGTGACTCTAAAGTAGTAGTTATTAGATGCGTCTATGCAAGATGCTTTACTGTGCACTTAGGACACAGTAGACTAATTTGCTGAGTTGCCAGGTAGTCTCATCAGATACGAGTGGTATCCAGCAGCACAGTAAATTATTGAATTTAAACACATGTATAGATAGTGGCATCGGGATTAGTTTACTCTGGCTCAGATTGAGCTGGAGTATATTCAGTCACATTAATTGCATGTAGATGTGCCCACTGAGGCGGAACTGAATGAACAGTTGCAAGCCATATGTTAAAACTTGCTCTCCTGCATACACTCAGTTAATTTCTGTAGTTTTCGGTGGAACCATGTAGTTGGAGAATTGTGTAGAAAACCTGGGGAAGTCTAGCTTTATTTGAATCTCTAATTTCTGTTCTTAGTTTAATTTGCAAGGTATAGGTGAATGGAGCAGAGTGATGAGGTGATATTGGCAGCTTGTGCTGCTGAGTACACATTCTAAACAAATTGCTTTTTAGTGCTTTCATTTGAAAGAGTTAAAATATTACATGCATATATGGCCAAATTAATCTGATGATGAAATGCATCCTCTAGCTATCTATGGATAGTAACTCTAATGGCTGTAACTGTTCTAGTAATTAGAGGTAGTGAAGAATTGTGACCACCAGTGAATGCTGATTGGTGTTCTTTGAAGCAGTTCTGTTTAACATAACTAATTGCTTAGTCCAGCTCCAATTAGTCCATTAGTCCATTTATTTTGTTCCTGATCACTCTCAGCTGGGAGTTTAGTGCTGTTTCATTTTGATGTTGATGAAGAACTATGTGCTAGTGAATTTACTTGTGTTCCCCAGGGTGTTGCATCAATGTACCAAAAGCTTCAAGTTTAAGAGAACGATGAAACCAGCTTGTATTGTGGAATTCTTCAAGTCCCAGAGGTGGAATAACGCACCTTTGTGATCACATGGGTTTAGGCTGTGAAGAATTAAACCTCTGTTCATTTGTTACTGCTTGGTCCTTGAGGAAGGACAGAAGTTTCATGACTAAGTATCAGACAAGAAAAAAAAAATGTCAGTTCCATCAACTGTCAAAGTCTGTGTTTTCTGCCCCATGTTAGTTTGAAATGTAACTGAAAAGAACAAAACACTGACAGTATGCAGGTGGGACTAGAAGCAACTCTTTGCCTCTCACTTGCTTTGCTCACCAAAGTAAGAAATATTATTTACACAGTAGTGTATGACAAGTTCTTAAGTGTTGGCTATACTTTAAGTACACTGCTTCAAGGCAGGTGTTGGCTGTTTTGGGGGACCCTGCATATTTATTCTTCTGCTAATAATAATGGATTGAATAAGCATCCAAGATTTTCCTTTTGCATGAATGAACCAAATTCTTGGATGGGGGATGCTTACAGGTAAGTATTATGTTACAAAATTTAAAACTAAATGTGTAGTAAACTTGGCTTTGTTCTGTAGAACCACCTCAAAGGCTCAATGAGATGATCCCTCTTATCTACTATTCTCTGTCCAGAGGGAAACCTCCAGGCAGGGCATTAGAGCAGATAAATGAGATTAATTTTTCAGAAAGATACATTTTTGGAATGTTGGATATCTGACTGAAATGACTTGTGAATATTAGTTGTTGTTTTTCCACGTAGATGGACTTGCTGTATCTGTAACTACGTGGTCATATTGTTGTTAACTAGATGCACATAAATTGCCTTCATTTTTGTGGGATCACAAAGTGTGTTAACTTTAGTCTTTCAAACAGGTTTTGATACTCATTGCCTGAACAACATTTTATACAATAAGATAAAGCCAGTTAGTTTTTACTAAGCTTCCAGGGAGGGGAAGCAACCTTTATTTATCTAGTATATGGGGATTTGTATCTAGCCTTTGACTAAATCGGTAAATGCTGATTAAAACTATTCCATTAAACTGAGTGATTGATTGAATGTAATAGAATCATCCTTTGTTAATTGTTTTTAGTAGTGTTCATTTCAGTCAACTGGGTAGATCAGCAGGATGTAATGTGCAGTGTTTCAGTTGATTTTTTTTTTTTTTTTTTTTTTTTTTAAATGTTGAACAGCTATGGCATTTAGGTATAAGAGCATGCTTTTAAAGTTGCTAGTTGAGCATTTTCCAAGTGGATTGCCACTGCATGCAACAGGCACGGCCTCTGAATGTTTGTTTATTGCCTATCTTTTGTTGGAAATGTTCACTTCTGTTGGACTCCAAAGTGATGCATGTTTCTGTTGGGTTCTCTGTATTAATTATTGATCCATCATGATGGCCTGTAACATGCTGCTCCGACAGTTGCTCAAGGTTGTTGGCAGAGGCCTTGATAACCATTTAAACTATTTTATTCTTCCAAGATCACAGTATTCAAGTGAAAAGGCATTTTGCAATACATGGAGTTCCTTAGATTTGTTTGTGGAATATGGGACTTAGATTTTTGGCCAGATGCTGGCCAATTAAATCACGGACTTCTTGCTGTTGACCAAATGGTCTAGTGTTAAGGTAGTGCTTCCCTCTGCCCACTGAGGAGACGCCAGTGTTTTGTCAAGATAAATGATTAAAGGCTTTCTGAGGACTCTTTTTGGAGGCTTTGCTTACTTCCAAGACCTTTTAATGCAGAGGTTCCCAAATAACAGACCATGGCCCAGTACTCTGCTGCGGTGAGTTGGCTGCGGGGTCATGGCATGAGCCCCCTGCTCAGACCCCTGTCTGTCTGCATGGGCGAGTGGCTCCTGGGGTCACAGTTGAGCTTCTAGGGTTAAAGTTGGGTGGCAGGGGAGCCCTGGGAGGGAGGGAGGCAGCCAGCTCCATGTGCCCTGTCCTGCTCCTGCCCAGCTGCAGTAGGAAAAAAGGTTGGGACCCCCTGCTTTAATGCAAACAAAGGCATTCCATAAGGGTGAAGTTGTATAGTTTGTCTGCGTTTACAGCAGCCTGGGCAAGTTGTAAAAGGTCCCATCTCAATGGGTAAACTTTAATGTTAACTGTTTAAATGAATGCCCAGAGGTGCCACTAAATCTTCAAATTCTTACCTTGTCAGGTAGCCTCAGCTGGGTTGGATTTACCCTGGTTAGCTATTTCCATGAAATCTTTTTCTCTGGGGGAAAACAAACCGTGATAAAAGAAAGTCTGCCACCTAGAGTTGTAACAATGCATTTACACAGTATTATGTGCAATGGATGTCTATTTAGGGCAACAGAGCCATCATCATTTGAGTGAAATTGTTTAAATAAACCTCCTAAGTTTTAAGGTATATTTTAATTTTCTAATCTCAGGTCCTTGCAAGTAATATTTAATTGTGATTCTATTTGGAACAAATATAGATAAAATATTTTATTATTTTATTAATATGCAAATACACTTTACCATATACAAGGTAGTGAAACAGTTTTAGCAGTACTAAAAATATTATGCATCTATAGAAGCATCTTCTATGCAAAGCATAAGAAAATAACATCCTAATGAGGAAGGAGATGAATAAAGGAATGAACCTTGGTTTGTTTTAACATGCACAAATTCAAGGTTTAATATAGTACATGAAATTTCAAATGCAACTTCTGTCTGCAGATTATTGATTGCAGACTTAAATCTTTGAAAGCTGAAATCAATCTGGAATTGCAATGGATTACGGAAAAATAATCTTCAAACTACAATTATAGATCATACACACACTTTTCAGATACTTCAGCAATTGTTTTGAATTGTATTTTCAGGTGCTGTTAGTGAGCAGTAGCCGGTACCCAGATCAGTGGATTGTACCGGGTGGAGGAATGGAACCTGAGGAGGAACCAGGGGGAGCTGCAGTTCGAGAGGTGTACGAAGAGGTAAAGAGCCTCCTTGATGATGTAACTTGCATAATCAAACAAATTAAAAGGAGAAGAGAGCATTTTGTCTCCTATACAGATTTGGTTGACTTGTCTAAATTCCCATGACCAAGGAACTCCAGAGAACTTGTCTTTCTTGCATTGTAATGCATATAATTTTGTATATCAACACTGTGATCACTGTTCAATATTTTATTTAAGTGACTAAAATGCAACTGAATTTTGTAAGTCTTCTGGCAAATTCATAAAGCTGTCATGCAAAGGAGAATATTAGCCCTTCCTCTTGAGTTACAATGAGGGCCTGAAGGTGTAACTCAAATGTTTCTATTTATCCTGGAAATGTTATTAGACTACCAGAGGACTACTTAGAACTTGAGTCAAATGAATCAATAAAGGGAAGGCATCTGACAAAGTGTGTGGTCACCTACAAAAGTGTACACCTCTCTGAAGCAGGTAGTCTAAGGTGCCACCCTGCCTTTTCTTGTCTTTTTTTAAATCTAAGGCCAGTAGTAACTATTTAATATAAAATAGTGTGACAAAATACTAGATCTAAAGTAGCAGTATTATGGTACTTATTAATGACTTACCCACACAGGACTAGGTTACAAGCATTTGATCAAAATATTTACAGCTGGGCTAGCAAGGGAAATTCTAGCTGGCTGACTCCAGTAGATCAGCTCTCACTAGCAAAGAATTAATTTCTCCCGTGTCTTACCTGAATTTCTCACTACATCTTCTGACTTTCTAGAAACTGATTAGATCTAAACTGAAACTTTCATACATGCCTACCTTGTTATTACCAAGACACACAAACTTCCTACCTTCCTTAGTCCTTGTGAGCTTCCTCTTAAACCTCCAGGAGCCAGTTTGGCATGTTAATTTCATTGCTATTGTTCACCCACCTTTTCTCATACACTAGGTGTATTTATGGCTTCCCACAATCCATCCTGCCAACATTAGCACTTTCACTCTCTGCCTGCCTCTGCTTAAACTTTGGTTTCCTGAAAGACTGCTGTGCTTATACCTGATATGATAAAACATTCCCTCATGTATTACATAATTAAAGTACATTTCATAATTCCTACAATGCCAGTAACTTGCTCTTATACAAAGGTAGAAAAACTCTCAAGCCATTAATCATCATCAGAAAAGTATAATGGACAATCTTCACTTCTCCCCTGGAATTCTTTTTTTTAAAGTACTGTTCGAGGCTTGATGAACAGGTACAACCTCACTTTATAGCGGCATGCTTAGATAGTGAATTTTTTTTAATTGTCTCGCAGTTTGCTTTAAAGTTCAAATGCTTGCAATATGAAATACTGTCTAAACCTTGTTAGACTTAAGCTTAGCATGCTAGTTTTTTGGGTGTGTTTTTTGGAGTACAATTCAGAAAGACTCTTCTGGGAGGTATGAGTTTAGATTTTAATCTTATCAGGCTTGCAGCCTAGGGCTCAATTGGAGCACTTGCAGCTCTAATGTGCTATTGTTATAATAAGGGAGGGGCATTGTAATCTACTCCACCCATGGTATCCTTTGAATGAAAGGGATGGTAAGGCTGTACTCCATATTGCTTATGTGTTTGTGCATATCTGCCACATCCAGCCTCTCGGGACTTAAGTTTGGGACATAGAAGGTAGAATTCCAAATAAGCACCTAAACAGTTTGCCAAGATGACAGTGCTGAACTTCAAGTATGCAAGTAGGTTTATCTAATGGAAAAAATAAGCACTTGATCATGCATCATACGCCTAAAGATGTAATGTTACCTCACTGAATGCCTATATATGCTTGATGCCCTTTGATTCAAATATTGAAAACTGATTTTTTTGAAATTTTACAAACTGGCTTCTAAAGCACAGTATTAGATCTATTTGGGAAGTCAGCTTTGAGATGGACACGAAGTGCTCTTATTCAAAAGTAAATGTTGATGCAGGTGCACCCTTTTTGCTGAAAAATGCTCCCAGTAAGAACTTGAAAGCCTCTGTGAGGAGGCCTTAAGCAACTTATTTTATGTAGGTCTAGATGTTTCACTCTCAATCCTTTAAATCCCTAACCATTGTTTTTTGCCAGATCTTTTGCAAAAACGGCAATCCCAGCTGTATATTATGCTACCTGGTATGCTATTTATTAGTCTCCTGACCTCTTTTACCCTTCAACCCAAAATGGTAGCACTGTGTTAAGGGCCTTTTTACACAGTCATTTTGGATGGCTCCTGGGGCTCTTAACTCCTGGATTGTCCATACATCAACACCTTAAACTGATGTTAAGCATTCATGGCTCAAAATTACACCGTTCCAGGACAGGATTATCTTTGATCTGCACTACGCAGCCCCCGTTCTATTAAGGTGTGGCTACGCCCCACAGATGTGCCGCCCAAGTTGAGGTCTTTCAGTATCCCAGGATCTCTTTTGCCCCTATCCATCTGGCAGGGTTAGAAGCCTGTCCTGGCTCACCAGCCCTCTAGTGGCAACTTACTATAGCTCCTAGTCTTGCCTAGGGGTGCCAACCCTCCAGGATTGCCCTGGAGTCTCCAGGAATTAGATGAATCTCCAGGAGACTCCTGGGTCACCCAGGAGATAAATTATAGGGCATTCATTAAATTAAATGTTGACTCCAATTTATGCAGTAGCCCAGTGACTTTTTAATGTAATAGTTGCATGTGCCTTCCTGATAAGTCTATGCACCATAATCTAATTGATATACACAAGCACACGGGCATTCTTGTATTGTGCGTCTCGGGCATGTTGGCATTCTGGAAACCTTCCGGAATAAGTTCAGACAGAGTTGGCAACCCTAGTCCTGCCTCTGCTTACCAGACCTCTAACAGCAAGTCACAGATGTGCAGATTGGGGACAGTCAGAGTTTCTACACAAAGGGTGTGACTGCTTCAAACTCCAAGCTGTCACTAACGCCAATCAAAGTTTGTGTGGCTCGCAGCATAAGGTGCAACAAGGCCCTAAGTCTAAGGAGACTGTGAAGTAAGGTCCTTCTTGTAGTGATAATTACAGATGAGAGAGCGTGTGGAATGTGCATGTGGAAAAGATGTGGAATTTGTTTTCCTGTTGTTCACCTTTAGCCAGTGTGGGACAAATTTTAATCTTGAAAAACATGATAGTTCCATTAAGGATTGCATCACAGTGCATAGGCATCCCCTGATTCCTTCAACCTCAAACTTCTGGGACATACTGCTCTCAGCAGTGCAATTCCAAACTTGATTTAGATTTGTGCCACAGGACAGAAGCTACAGATAATAGAAGTCCTCTCATCTCTTTTCCACTAAGAAGATACCATTTTTATCTGCAACTGGATGCTGAGACATCTCAATACCTTATGGTTACATACTTAAACAAAAAAGCTTATCTGCATGCTACATGTAAGACTGCAGTTTGCTTTTGCATACAGATTTAATGTTGTTAGTATATTTATCAATTATATTAAACTGATACCCAAGCACATGCTGTGTTGATATCTTTTACATAGTTGCACTGAAATTCTTATTTGACGTATGCTGAAGGCTTGCACCACAGCACAGGCATGCTTCTGTGTGCTTTTAACTAAAGTACAATTGTATGAATTTTCACAGTTGACCAAGCCTCTGAGTAGGAGCACAATGCATCCTTTCTCTGGGACAACGTATTGCAGCTTTCAGTAGAAACCCATTTCTCTAGCTGCTTAAAGTGTTCAGTTAAGTCTGTTAGCAGACTCCTGGTAATCTAGAAGGCTCTCATTTCAAAAACAGCTGCTTTTGTAGAACAGTAATCCTTGAGAGCCAGGTACTTGTCTAAGCTAGAGGTAGATGATGTCAGGTGCCTTCATCTCACTGTCTGCAGCTATACATTCCACTGCTTACATAATTGGCTTATATTTAGTCTGTTATTTTTACTTGTGTCTAGTAGAAGGTTTGGCAAGTTGGGAAAGCTGGGCGTTTTAACATCATTCATCTAGTCAGTCAGTATCAGTATTCTATGGGAACAAGAGTGGTGCTAGCCATTTAAAGAAAAAAGAACTGAATGCTTAAAGATGCTGGTATCTATGAATGTTGTAACTAAATACAAAAAATGGGACTACAATTACAAAAAATGCTTAGAATTGTAATTTTTTGTAATGAACTACAAACAATTAAAATTGGGAGTAAGCCCTGGTTTGAGACACCTCTTAGGCACCTACTGTAATTAAGTGGGATGTTCAAGTCTTAACCAGTTAGAATGGAGAGTGGAAATAGCAGGCACTTCCTCAAGGGGCAGTACCTAAAGTGACTAAATTGAGAACTTGGAAGGGCCATGACTTTGGGCACTTCTTTGTTTTGATAGGTATGGATCAGAGATGTCCAGCTGGTGGCCCATGGGTCTCATGTGGCCCCTGAAGAGTTACCATGCAGCCCAGGGGCACCTGCCAGGCCATCACTTCCACCACCCCCCTCCCCTCCCTTCCCCCTCAATTGCTTCTGCCTCAGTGGCTAGGAGCGGGCAGTGTGCATGGTAAAAAAGGGAGATCACCTGCCCATGCTGTGGGTGGGTGGTGTATGCAGCTTCTGGGCAGGGGGGAGGAAGTAGGGTGGGTGGTAGACCTGGGCTCCCAGTGCTGGGGGGTGGAGGAGGTTGTGCATGTGATGCACACAGCAAGGTGGGGAAGAGGAGAGGGGGCAGCTACTTGTACTTTGCATGTAAGTGGGGAGAATGCTGGGCAGCCCATCTGTCCTCCATCTCCCACCCACATGTGCAGTGCCACCTGCTTGGCCACACTTGCTACATGAAGAGTTGGTCTGCCTGTGCTGCAGGGGAGGGAGAGCTATCTGCATAGCACACTAGGTTGGGAGGTGGGTATCCACTTAGACTTCAGGAAGGCCTTCGATACGGTATCCCACACCATACTGGTGAACAAGTTAAGAGGCTGTGACTTGGATGACTACACAGTCCGGTGGGTGGCGAATTGGCTAGAGGGTCGCATTTAATGTCTTCATCAGTGACTTGGACGCGGGAGTGAAATGTACTCTGTCCAAGT